TTGCATTTCTCTAAACAATAGTGGTTTAGAGCATTTTTATATGATCATAGACAGTTTTGATTTTTTTTATCTGAATCATATCCTTTGACCAAATATCAATTGGAGAATGACTTGTTTTCTTATAAATTTGACTTAGTTCTCCATATAATTTGAGAAATGAGGACTTTATCAGAGACATTTGCTGAAAAATTGTTTACCTGCTTTTTGCTTTCCTTCTGGTCTTGGTTTCATTAGTTTTGTTTATGAAAAAATTTTTAAATTTTATATAATAAAAATTATCTATTTTATATCTTATAATGCTATCTCTTATTTGTTTATAAATTCTTCCTTTCTCCAGAGATCTGACATGTAAACTATTCCTTGCTTTCCTGATTTGCTTGTGGTGTCACCTAGTCGTACCCATTTTGACCTTATCTTGGTTGGCATACAGTAAGATATTGGTCTATACATAATTTTTGCCAATTTGTTTTCTAGTTTTCTCAGCAGATTTTGTCAAGTAGTGAATTCTTGTCCCAAAAGTTGAGTGCTTTGGGTTTATCAAACACTGGATTACTATGGTTATTTACTACTGTGTCTTATGAATCTATTCTACTGATCCATCACTCTATTTCTTAGCCAGTACCAGATAGTTTTGATGATTATTGCTTTATCTCCTCAAATTTTTACAAATTTTTTCATATTTGCTATTTCTTATGGATCAATAATACTCCCACTATATGTGTATAACACAATTTGTTTGTTCATTCATCAATTGATGACTTTCCACTTTATTTTCAATTCTTTGCTAAAATAAAAAGTGGAGCTAAAATATTATTGAATATATGTGTCCATTCATTCTGTCTTTGCCATCTTTGGAAAATATACCTAGTACCTAGTTGTGGGTACCACTGGGCCAAAGTGACTTAGGGGGTCATTAAACCACTAATTCCAAAATGTTTTCCAATTTGGAACCAATAGTTAGAACAACTCATAGCTCCACCAACAGTATATTAGTATACCTGCCCTCTTATAAACCCTTCAACAATTACCATTTTTATTTTTCATGTGTATGTGGAGCCTCATGATTTTTTTCTGAAAGAAGAAATTTTAATTTAAGAAAGCTGAGAATTTATCAAAAACCAAAGATTAAAAGATCTCTTAAAATTTTAAAGAATTATATTGGTCTTTAATTTTTCTGTCACTTGCTTTCCCTAGCAAATCATCTCTACCTTTCCCAGAGAGCCATTCTGTATAACAAAGAAAAAATAGCTCAGAAAAAATAATTGAACACATTGAAAAAGTCTGACATTGTATGTAGTGTTCTACTCATATTTTCCCACCTTTGCAAAGAAGGTAGGAAATACCTTCTTGTATTTGTTGTTTGGGGGTAAACTTAGTCATTATAATTTCACAACATATATAATATACCATATTAATAAGAAAAGGAATAAAGTTATATGATATTAATATATGCAGAAAAAAAGTTTTTGACAAAATACTATACTACTTTATGTTAAAAATATACTAAAAGTATAGTAAAAAATGGATTGTTCATTATTATAATAAGTAATACCTATAGAAAAACCAATAGTTAGCACTATATTTAACGGAGAAAGTCTAACAGTAACATCAGGGCTTTACCCAGAATGTCCATTTTTTTTTCTTTTTGGTGAGGCAATCGGGATTGATTGACTTGCCCAGGGTCACACAGCTAGTAAGTGTCAAGTGACTGAGGTCTGATTTGAACTCAAGTCCTCCTGACACCAAGGCCAGAGCCCTATCCACTGTGCCACCTAGCTGCCCCATTAGAATGTCCATTTTCTTGACTATTACTTGCCATAATTCTTGAAATGCTAGTCATAGTAGTAACACAGGGGGAAAAAATTGAAGGGGTAAGCATAGACAAGGTAGGAACAAAATTTCATTTTTTTAGAAGATATGATTATTTAAAAAACCTTAGATACTTAATAAAAATTAATCAAAACAATAAATTCAGTAAAGTAATAAGACATAAAACCAAACAAATCATTAGCCTTTCTGTGTATTGTCAATAAAACCCACCAGGAAGAGAGAGGAAAAAATTCTGTTCCAAATAAGAGTAGAATATGTAAAATATCTGGGAGTCCACTACCAAGACAGATATTGGAATTATATAAATACAAAAACAAGGCAGTCTTAAAAAAAAAAGACAAATAAATGGAGAGACATTGTCTATGGTTGGGCCATACCAATATAACAAAAATGACAATACTACCTATATTAATATGTAAATTCAAGTCCATACCAATCAAAGTATAAAAAGAACTAAACATAGTAACTGCGAAATTCATTAGAGGAACAAAAGTTCAAGAATCTTAAAGGAAAATAATGGGAAAAAATGGGAAAGAAGAGAATCTAGCAATACCAGATCTCTAAATTTGGTATTGATTAAAAAATGCAGAAAAGTTGATCAGTGGGACAGATTTGGTATATAAGAACTAGAAGTAGTCCAGCATAGAAGTGTGGTATTCAATAAACCCAAGAATTCCAACTATTGGAGTAAAAACTCCCTGTTAACAAAAACAAACAAACCTAGAAAAACTGGTAGAATTTAGGTTTAGATAAGCATCTCAAACTGCATATACCACAATAAGCTCCAAATAGATACATGACCTATATATAAAAGATTATATCACAGTCCAATTAGAAGAACAGAGAAAGAGATACCTTTCACATCTAAGAAGAGGGGGAAGAGTTCTTGTCTAAATAGGGAATAGAGAGAATCATAGACCACAAAATGGACAACTATGATTACATGAAATTGAAAAGCTTTTGTACAAACAAAAATCAATGTATTTAGAATTAGAAGGGAAACAGTTAACTAGGGGAAAATATTTGTATCAAATTTCTCTGATAAAAATCCATCATCTATGAAATATAAAGAACTTATACAAATATATTAGAAGAAGAGTTACATGGAAAGCTATTTGGAATTATACCCTAAAATCACTAAACTGTGTATACCTTTTGATTCAACAATACTGCTAGTAAGCATGTGCCCTAAAGAAATCAAAGACAGAGGAAAAGGACTCAGATGTACCAAAGTATTTATAGTATTAATTCTGTTGTAACAAAGTAGATACCTTTCAAATGGGGAATTGCTGAACAAATTATGGCATAAGAATGTAATGAAATATTATTGCTCTGAGTGACAAATAGGACAGATTTAAAGAACCCTAGGAAGACTTCTATGAAATGATGTAGAATGAAATGAATAGAACTAGGAAAACAATTTATACAATGACTACAGCATTATAAAGGAAAATAATTGTGAAACATTTAAGAACTATGATCAGTGTGATGACCAATCATAACTACAAAAGACTAATTATCAATCATGTTTCCCAACTCCTGGCAGAGGTGGCGAACTGAAGGTGCAGAACAAGACAGACATTTTCATACATAGATGATTTTTAACGTGTGTTTTGCTTAACTCTACTTATCTATAACTGGTGTGTGCGTGTGTGTGTGTGTGTGTGAGTGTGTGTATGAGTGATTTTTTTTTTGCCTGAAGTATGGGTGGGGAGAATTAAAGGGATGAGTGAAGAGTTAGTAGCTTGAGATACTCACCCAAAAAAAGAAAAGGAAGAAAAGAATATCATTGAATTACTTAAAAATTACATTGAAGCAAGAAGTAGGAAGTTCAGATGGGGATCCAGATGAACAAAGCAGCAGTGGAATTGCTATGTTAAATTTAATATATACTTTAAAAAAAAACAAGGTATACATATACAGTAGTTATTTATAGTTCCATATACAATCTTTTTCTTAATTCTTATCTGTATAAAGAAATATTTACATTGGTAAATTAATAATAATAAAAAAGAAAATTAAAATATTCACAGCATTCAATTTTGATTACTTAGTTGTTCTTTTTATTCAATTATTTTAGTCATTATGTTTATTGTTTTCCCAGCTATGCTTATTTCATTTTCACTTACTTCACGATGATTTCACTTCTTTTTCAAATGTCTTCGTATTTACGTCTAAAAGTCAGAACCACAACCCAAGTCTCCTGACTTTTAGTCCAATGCTCAGTACTAATATTCACTGACTTGGTTCACAAGATCAAAGGTTCTTAATCTTTTTTGTTTCATGGATCTCTTTGGCAATCTGTTGAAGCCTATAAAACTTTTTTGCAGAATAATTTAATTAGAGGTTGCTGAAAATAAAGAGGTAATTTTTCCCCACTCAAGTTTATGTATTTCCTAAAATTAATTGGCAGACCCTTTATTGGTACATGGATACCAGATGAATAACCCCTGCAGTCAATGATTACTCAACTCTGAATTTTGTTTTAAGTAGATCAGGTCTTAGTTAAAGTAGTTGGATCAGCTAGTTACTTTTTGAACCACTTAGGACAGAAATTTGTGGATTTTTTTTCATTACTAGTAGTAATAGTAAAAACTATGTATGCCATAGTATATAGTATAGTTTAAAATCCATGAATTCATGAACATGCTTGAATAGATATGATCAGCACATACCGAGGTATAGTTATAATTTAACACTTGTAACATTCCTCTTTAGCAAAGACTTACCAATTTGGACACTTTTATGTGTAGGAATGTATTTTGTAGATGCTATGTGTTAGTACTATAGTACTATATCTTAGTACTAACTTAGTACTAAGTTATGAATCTAAAACTATAAATTTTCCTGATTTTTTGTCTATACCAAATTCTGTGCTTATTTCAATCAAGTATGTTTTCTTTTTTTTTTTTCTTTAAAGAATGGTTTATATATGCTCTTAATAAGAAATGCCTCTTCCTTGAAGAGGCTACCACTAACTACTTAGTGAAAATTTAGGAAAAGATCCAGCCACTCACTTTGGTCTTCATTGCATTATAAATAATTCAAATGAATAATTTAATTTTAATATTATATCTATGTCTTCACAATCTTTTTTGGAGTATATAGCCTTAATGATGTCAGTCTCATGTCTTATGCATCTCACTCTGATTTTTCCTTTTGGAATAAAGGCAAAGAAGATCTATGAACAGAAGTGCAAAGATAAAGATGAGGCAGAACAGGCAGTGCATCGGAGTGCAAATATAGCAACGCCAAAGCAACAAGAGAAGGTAACTGAAAAGACATTTTTTTACCCCTGGCACAACTACTTCATTAGCATAGGTTATGAGCTTAAAAATTGAAGAGAAATAATATTAGGTCTAAAAAATTGGTTGAAGGCAGCTAAGAATTGTTTTTAAGAAGCATAATTACTATCAATTATTGGTATCATCTTCCTTCAAGGTTATTGTTATTCAAAACACACTAATGATATTATTGGGATTTATTCTGTGAATGTCTTAGGGACCATCTTTTTAAATAAATTCCTAATATTATTGTGAATGATACTTTCATCTGAAAGGATGAATTATCCATTTAATTTTGCAACATGTGGGAAATAAAGATTTCTACCAATCAGAAGACAGGACTACTTTTGTACCTAGGATAGTAACAAGTGGGAAAGGGTACATAGTGAATACCCTGGGATTCTAACAATAAAACTAAGACTCAAAGTGAAAGTATTGGTAGGATTACAACTTCCAACTGCTCTGATCACTCAACAGTGCACCTAGTTTTGAGGACTGACCCAGTGTCATGGATCACCTGGAGAATTGACCTTGTACTCATGGTCTCAGATGACTGTACATCAAGAATAATGCTTTTCAGATTAGAAAAGATAGAATAAAAGCGACTGAAGATAATTAAAACCCAAGATAAGTAAGGAGTTAGTAAGAGCACCTACCTGCCCTAAGAAACTTTGAATATGATTCCTGTACTTTGAAGAATCCATGATGAATAGGAAAAATGCTGCTGGAAATACAAATTAGAGGGTTGTTGTAGACAGAAGCTTGTCTGAAACAAATTTGGGAATTTTCGTGGATTGCAAATTAAATATGAGTAAATAGTGTTGATTAGTCAAGAAGTAGTTAAGTACTCACTATGTGCCAGACACTGTACTAAGTGCTAGGGATACAAAGAAAGGGATGGCATTCAACAATGCCATCTTGGGTTGTGTTAAGGGAGGCTTCGTGTCTAGGACTAGGTGGGTCCTATTGTTATGTGTCCTTGTCAGACCACCCTTGAAACATGATATTCAGTTCTGGGTACCACATGTTGGGAAGGACATTGATAAACTAGAGAGTATCCAGAGTTGGGAAACCAGGGTGGTGAAGGATTCAAGTTCATGTCATGTCAGGACGAGTTGAAAGAACTGGGGGTGATTGTACTTGAAAAGAGAAAACTTAGGTGAGATGCGTCCTCAAGTGTTTAAAGAACCATCATGCAAGACAGGGCTTCTACTTGTTCTGCTTGGCCCTAGGATATGGAGCTAGGAGCCATGGATTGAATAATTCTGTAGATTTCTCATTCCCTTTTTGTTTTCAAAGCTCTTTGTGAAACTGGCCACTTCAAAGACTGCTGCAGAAGACTCTGGTGAGTGGGGCTATCTTTATAATCACGTTTATTAAGTATTTAGTATGTGCCAAACATACTATGTATGGTAAATACCAGTGATATAAATTCAAAAGTAAAACAACCTCTGCCCTTAAGTAGCTTGTGTTATGCTGGGGTTCAGGATTGCATACAACATATTCATAGGTAAGAAAATACAGGATACACACACATACACACACACACAATAGACAATAATGTTTTAGGAGAGGACAATAACAACTGGAGAAATCTCTTAATGAACGTTATACATTTTTAATGGTTGTAGGGCATTTTTTTTTTTGCACCACCAATGCAATTCAAACATAGGGTATTCTTTCTTTTGGCAAGTAAAATGAAGAAGTTGCTTTTGTCATTTGCTAAGCTTGGATTTTTAGTAAATCCTAGACATTTTTAGTAAAAGGTTGGTTTTGAGTGTCTTTGAAATAAACAGGATCCTGGGAAAAGGAAAAGAGCTATTAGAATGAGCCCTGGATGATGAACTTTGAACCTATAGAAGCCCATGGAAAAAGCACTGTATTTGGACACTGAGAACCAGCGTTAGAATCCTAATTATGCCACTTACTACCAATGTTACCTTGGGCAAGTCATTTTCCCTCAGTGGGCTTCAGTTTTCTGGTCTACAAAATGAGTGGGTTTGGAATAGTTGGACTTTAAGGTCCTTCAATCTATGATTCTGTCCTCTGCAAGCAGGGCAGTATGGTCAGAGGCTGACAATGTATCTCCTTCCCTTCAGTACCTTGGCATTTCAAGTGGAGTGCTTCAATGAGGGGAAGAACTTCATGTCACACTGCACTCTGTAAAGTTTGTCATTGTCTGGGACAGGAATGTTGTGGTAGCTGCTTTATGATTCATCTACTGGGAAGCCCTGCTTTTAACATGATACAAAGGAGAATATGTGTCAATCCACATGGCTCTGTAGCTGGCATTGGGGGAGAAGTAGCCAAGAACTGAGAACATGGATTACACTGGTTCCAAGAACTACCTGCTTATCAGTTTACAAAGTTGTAGAATACTCAGCACACAAGATAGCAAACCCTATTTTTCTGATGATTTGGCCTTCTCGTTGCCTTTTTATATTGGGAGTGAGACAAAAGTACCTTTACAAAGGACTTCTCTGAACTCATTGGTGACCATTTCATTTCTATTCAGAATTTATCATAGTCACCTTCCATATTAGATAAGTTTTCCTTGAAATATGTCTAGCTTTTTTTTTGTTGTTGTTGTTCATGGCTTTCAGGTAGTCTAATGATTCTTAAATGATCTCTCCTTGATCTCTTTTCTAGATCAGAGATACTTCACATTTCCCATGAGATACTTCACATTTTCTTTTTCTTTTTTGTGTTTCTTGTTTTTGTTTTATTGTTTCTTGATGTCTCATGGAATCATTAGTTTTCACGTGGTCAAATCTAATTTTTAAGGAGTTATTTTCTTCAGTGAAATTTTGTGCCTTTTACCAAGCTGTTCTCATTTCACAATTTGCTTGCATAGTTTTCCTTTCTTTTCCCAGTTTTTTCTCTACCACCCTTATTTGATCTTTAAAATCTTTTTTTTTGTTCCAAAAAAACACTTTTTAGCTCTTCTAGGAATTATTATTGGCTTGTATCCAATCTGCATTTTTCTTTGGGGCTTTGTTTGTAGATGTTTTCAAGTCATTGTCTTCTTTTGTGCTTGTCTTGAGCTTCACTGTCACCATAGTTGCTTTTTATGGTCAGGGCTTTTTTTGCTCATTTTTGAAACCTAATTCTTGACTTGGACTTGTTAGTTCTTGAGCCTGCCCACTTCTCAGGGGTTATCTGGCCCGAGTTTCACTTTTTTAAGGTCCTTTGGCTGCTTTCACAACTCATTTTGGGGGCCTGTACTTTTTTGGTGTTTCCAAAATGGTGTGATCTAGGATGAGATCTGTTCACTGTCTTCTGGTCTATAGAAGTTCATAATCTGGTTTGGATCTGTTGGATTTTGTGTGGTTGAATTTCTGTAGACTGCTGCTAGACTCAGCCACAGTTAACCTACTGGAAGATTCTGCAGGCTCATAGCAACTCAACTACTGGCTCCCCCTTGGTTTTGCTCTCTTGACCTGATTATTTTCACTGTAGGATTAGGTGTAAGAATAAAAGAACTGAGTTCCCACTCTGTTCTTTGGCACTCACTCACACAGCTATGTTTCTGAAACTTGTTTTTTGCTCCTTACACATGTAGGGACCTCTGCTCCCTCTGTGACCCAGTAATGGGTAATGGGCAATAGAGTTGCCAGATGGTACTGTTCCTGTTCCTAGTGCTAGTAGTGTGGTCGAATCTTTTTTCCCTAGGTGCTTCTTGCCCTGATGTTCTTTTTTTTTCTTATTAATTTATTTATTTTTAGTTTTCAACATTCACTTTCACAAGATTTTGAGTTCAAATTTTCTTCCCATCTTGTCCCTCCCCCCACCCCAAGATGGCATGCATTCTGAATAACCCCACCCCAATCTGCCTTCTCTTCTATCTACCCCCCCTTATATTCCCTTCCCCTTCTATTTTCCTGTAAGGCAGGATAGATTTCTATACCCCATTGTCTGTGTATCTTGTTTCCCAGTTGCATGTGAAAACAATTTTTAACATTTGTTTTTAAAACTTTGGGTTCCAAATTCTCTCCCTTCCTCCCTCCCCACCCACCTTCATTGAAAAGGCAAGCAATTCAATACAGGTTATACATGTGTAGTCATGCAAAACACTTCCATATTAGTCATGTTGTAAAAAGCTAACTATATATCCCTTCATCCTATCCCACCCCCCATTTATTCCATTCTCTCTTTTGACCCAGTCCCTCCTCAGAAGAATTTGCTTCTGATTACCTCCTCCCCCAATCTGTCCTCCCCTCTATCATCTCCCAGCTCTCTTATCCTCTTCCTCCCTATTTTCCTGTAGGGTAAGATAGATTTCCATACCCAATTGTATGGTATACCCTCCTTAAGCTAAATCCAATGAGAATAAGATTCACTTTCCCTCTCACCTTCTCCCATTTCTCCTCCACTGTAAAAGCCTTATCTTGTCTGTTTTATGTGAGATAATTTACCCCATTCTACCTATCCCTTTCTCCTTTTCCCAGTGTAATCCTCTCTCACCCCTTAATTTATTCTCTAGATATCACCCGTTCATCTTTAATTCACCCTGTGTCCTGTATCTATCTATCTATCTATCTATATACATATACATATAATTTTTTTCCCTCCAACTACCCTAATACTGACAAAGGTCTTATGAGTTACAAATATCATCTTTCCATGTAGGAAGGTAAACAGTTCAATGTTAATAAGTCCCTTATGATTTCTTTTTCCTGTTTACCTCTTCATGCTTCTCTTGAGTCTTGTATTCGAAAGTCAAATTTTCTGTTCAGCTCTGGTCTTTTCATCAAGAATGCTTGAAAGTCCTCTAATTCACTGAATGTTCATTTTTTTACCCTGAAGATTTATACTCAGTTTTGCTGGGTAGGTGATTCTTCGCTGTAATCCTATCTTCTTTGACCTCAGGAATATTATCTTCCAAGCCCTCCAGTTCCTTAATGTAGAAGCTGCTAAATCTTGTGTTATCCTGATT